AAGTGTCCCTCACTGCGGTCTCTGCAAATGTTGACAAAAATTCACATTTCTCACCTCGTTTTAGGACTGCCCTGCAGCCTCAGATGGTATTCCCAGCCTGGAGTGACAGAATTCCCTTCTTGGAATGACAGAATTCCCAGCCTGGAGTGACAGAATTCCCACCTGTTTTCACAGCCTGGAGTGACAGAATTCCCAGCTTGGAGTGACAGAATTCCCACCTGTATTCCCAGTGTAGAGTGACAGAATTCCCAGCCCTTATTCTGAGCCTGGAATGACAAAATTCCCACCTGTATTCTTAACCTGGAATGACAGAATTCCCAGTCTGGAATGACAAAATTCCCAACCTATTTGACTTATTCTATTTTGTTTTTTTTTATCCTGAAATGAAAACTGGAACAGTTCTCTCTCTGAGAAGAAATGGTCATTCCTGAGATATTCATCTCCAGTTGGAAAAGCATTTCCTTTGGCTGAGTTAAATCCCCTTTTTTTTTTGGTCAACAAAATTCCATTTCCATGAATCACGAGTGGGAATTTTTTTTTTTTTGGTCATTAGCACCCATTTTCATAATTTGTGGATGCAGCACAAGAAGAAAGAGTAAAAAGCAACCACAGCAGGTCCTGTGGAGCTGAGAAATCCAAAGCCAGGCAAGACTTAAAACATCACATCCTCCAAAAGCTTCGAATTGGCCAAAAAAACTATTCAAACACGAGGAGAAAAACTCCAGAAAGCTGCATTTATTTCCAAAATATCATCACTGAGGTGAAGGAGGCTTTTAATTGCACTCTCCAGACTTCCAGCATCAACAAACCCGGGCTTTCACTGCGAGGAACTCTCTCATTCCAATTAAAAGTGATTTTTGAAGGCCCCAGTGCTTAAGTCAGAAGTTGTTTCTACAGACAGTAAATGATTCTTAATAAGCAGAGCCCGTGGCAATAAAACAAAGAAATAAAAATAATTCACATTTTCCACAACTTGGAGAGTGAGTCCTTAGGATGTGCCCCCATCCCTCCACTCACACAGCGCATGACAAATACTGATATTTTCATATAAACTGAATTTAAAATAGTTTTTCCCAGAGAGTCATCTAGAAAAAGACCTGTTCCAATTTGACCCTCTTTCCTATCCTATAATTCCCATTATGGACCACATATGGAATTCCTCCGGAGTAGATTTTGCTGCAAATTTCCTTTTTTTTTGTTGTTTTTTTTTTTTTGCCTAAAAATCAGGATAAACTCAGGATAAAGCAGCAGCAGCCAGGCTGTGCCCCGAGATGGGCTCAGCTAGGAAAAAACAAAATAAAAATATTCATTTTTCACCCAATCCCTTGCTCCAGCATCCCCTGAGTCATGGGAATGCTGCAAATAAAGCTGAGCTCCAGCAGCAAGCAGAGCTCATTTCAGATGGCTCATGCCAAAACAACCCAGCTAATTATGCCGCAGTAATTACCTGAAAATTATATGTATGTTGTTTTTGCAGCAGTCAATAGTGCTATTTTTGATCTTCTCATTGTTCTCATGCCCTGCTGGAGTCACGTTGTCTCGAAATCCTCTTTCTTTTTTGGCTCATCACTCACCTCTGGACTGGGGAGGGTTTTTAGGGGAAGTTTCACCTGCAGCATTTCTCTGCAGCTCGGATCTTCACCTGTGCTGCCTTTCAGAAAATATTTCCATTTTAATCACCTCTTAAATAGGAATTATGAGATTCTGGCTGAACACCCCATCAAGATTTTCTCCTGAAAAATTAAAATATGAAACATCAAAAATCCTGAAAATTCCGGGATCCCTGACTAGGATTATCCTGATTTTCAAAACTTTCATTTCCTTCAGCTCAGATCTTCACTTGCACTGCTTTTCAGAAAATACTTCTATTTTAATGGCCTTTCCAATAAGGACTACAAGATCCCGACTCAACGTCCCATCAAGATTTTCTCCTGAAAAATTAAAATATGAAACATCAAAAATCCTGAGAATTCCTGGATTTCTGACTGGGATCATCCTGATTTGGAAGAGTTTAATTTCCTTTAGCTCATATCTTCACTTGTGCTGCATTTCAGAAAATATTTCCATTTTAATTATCTCTTAAATAGGAATTATGAGATTCTGCCTCAACACCCCATCAAGATTTCCTCCTGAAAATTAAAATCTGACACGTGAAAAATCCTGAAAATTCCTGGATGCCCAGTAGGGATCATCCCGATCTGGAAGAGTTTCATTTCCTTCCGCTCACATCTTGACCTGTGCTGCCTTTCAGAAAATATTTCCATTTTAATTATCTCTTAAATAGGAATTATGAGATTCTGCCTCAACACCCCATCAAGATTTCCTCCTGAAAATTAAAATCTGACACATGAAAAATCCTGAAAATTCCTGGATGCCCAGTAGGGATCATCCCCACCTGGCAGAGTTTCATTTCCTGCCCTGCTCTGGGTGGGGCCTGTGCTCCTTGTCTGGTTTTTTTCCTTTCCAGAGCAGCTGAGTGCCAATTCCCAAGGAAGGGAATTTTGTCAGGCACCAAGGCTGGGAAAACGCCCGGCAGGAATTCTTGGATCAATCCCAAAAAACTCCTGCCACATTCCCTGAGTTGGCCCAAATCCGCGGGGTAAAACGCACGGGGAGCGACTCCTTGGGGAAAGGAAGATGCTGGTGATAAAAGGTGTTTCCCTGGACTGCTGGGAGGAAATTAATTAATTAACATTTGGAAAAGCACTTGGAGATTCTTGG